GGCCTGCGCGCGTCCTGAGGATCATCGAACTCCGCTCCGGCCAGCGTGCCCCTGAAGGCCTCTGGACATCGTTGAACCGACCCCGATCCCCACGAGCGTGGCCTGGGTCCCAAGGGCCGATTGGCCCCCTGGATGGGGATGTAGGCCGTTCCCCTCGGGCTTCGAGGTGTGTGTGTCCCCAACTGGGGTGCAAGGATGCTGGGGGTCTGGACTGGGAGGGGGCCGGGGCTGGGGATCGGTGAAGCGATGCCGAGCCTCCGCCGCCCGGAAGGCGGTGCTGCGCAGCTCCTCGGGCCCGCAGCCGGCCGCCTCCGCCAGCAGCTCCGCGCCCCGCGGCCCGAGCTCGCCGTGGCGGCCGCGGCCCTGGCCCATGCGCGAGAAGACGCTGGCCTTCCACGCGGCGTCGGACAGGCCTCGGTGGGCCCTGGAAGCGGCTACAATACCAGGGGCCCGACCACAAGAGACCCTCCGCAAGAAGCCCGGCCCTGAGACCCTAGGACGTCCATGGACTTCTGGTGCGGCAGCGTCAGGCCTGCCACAGCAGAGCCATCGAAAACCAAGAAAGCAAGGGCACCCAGGAGGCAAGCAGGGTGTTTCTTGGCATGGGCCTCCACTGTACAGTAGGTTCGCTGAAAGGAGGCCCAAGTCGAGGTCGGAAGGGGCTCGGTGGTTCCTCAGGTTTTGCGTTCCGTTGTTTTTTTGGTGGCGAGCCCCTTCGGTGCTCCTCAAATTCTAGTAGCACGCGCGGACTCGTTTTGTCGATCATGGCGGCTGGTCGAAGGAACAGGCTCCAAAAGGGGCTCGGTTCCCTCGGATTGTACGGCGAGTCTTGGAATAAAGGTGTTGGTTTCCTTACTCATCGTTCCCTGAATCAGCAGCCCAATTGTAGGAATCGAACGTGTATACAGGTCCACCTCCTTCTGCCTCCATCCCCCTTTTTCTCTGATTGCTTTCCTCCGTCCTGAGAGGGTGAAGTGGGTGGGAAAGGAGTGGATCTGTGTAGCTGTCCTCCTCCGAACGGCACGGCTGTTCTCCAAATGTTCCAATGTTTGTTGCTGGCTGCCGCGCCGTTGTTTGCCCCAATTCCGTCGCCGTGCTCTCTGTCTGGCCCCGGTTCCGGCTCAACTTTCCAGAGCAGGTCGCTGCTCCCGTTTCCAGGAAAAGCTTTGTTTCACGCTTTCGTGTTCCAGGCGCAGTAGGTCCGTGTCGTGACGACCTGCGCGTTGGTGCCTGACGCCGCGTGGATCGATCAACATGGATGATCGGCAATTTCCCGATCGCCACTGCGACTCTGGGCCACTGCCGGCGAGGAGGAGGTGGAGGGGGAGGAGGTAGGGAGGAGGAGGAGGAGGAGGAGGAGGAGGAGGAGGAGGAGGAGGAGGAGGAGGAGAACGAGAGGAGGGGGAGGAGGGGGAGGAGGAGGAGGAGGAGGAGGAGGAGGAGGAGGATCAGATCGGCCGACTCTGGGTCAGTCGGCGCTCAACCTCGACTGCCCGCGGCGCGACCGCCGCCGCGCCGCCACGACACGAACCTGCCGCACTGCCGCTCTTTGCTTTCGTGCTCCAATGCTTGCTGCAGGCTCCCGCGCCGTTCTTTCCCCGCTCCGTCGCCGCGTATTCTGTTCTGCCCCGGTTCCGGCTCCAGTCCCGGAGCATTCCTTTGCTCCCGCTTCCGGGAGCCGATCTGTTTACCGCCTGCATGGCGAACGAACGACACACGCCATACCCATAGGGGGGCGAAGGGGGCTACGTGGGTGCGTATTGTCAGATGGCGGCCCCCGCTCGAACAAGAGCCTCGCCCAGGGTCCGACAACCCTCACCCATACCCGAAGCCAGCCCTCCTCGCTCCAACCCTTCTGTGGGTATTCGTGCGTGTTTGCTGATCGTTCGTCATCTCATGTTCCAGATACAAGGCTTGAGCTGAGGACACCAAAGGTACCGATACCGCTGCTCCCCAGACCTCTCCTGCGGTGCGCTCTGACCAGCATCTCGAGGCGCATCAAGCGGTGGCGACGACGGAGGCCCAGGAGGCCCCAAAAAGGGGGAACACGAGGGAGGGGTAGAGGTATGGATACCTCTTCCTCCTCTGTGAAAAACTGCGGGGCACTAAGATTAGGCCGGGCATGTCCCCCTGCAGTCGGACTCCGGAGGGGAAATGAACAATTGTCCAACACATTCAAAGATAGCAGAAACATCGTCCCCAAACTATCTTTTAACCCCAAAGGGTCTTTTGACCCCCCCCCCCAATAGTGCGCAAATATATGGTTGTCCCGCGGGCTTATTGACGGACTGGGACCCCAGCAATAATGGAAAATCTTATTTTCCGTGTGGAACTCGGGCCCCACGGAGAGGGAGGGAACCCACGAGGACCGTGAGAAACTTCATCCTCGATTTATCCATCCTAAGGAAAACGTGCGACTGCCTAAGGAGAACGTAAGGACAACCTAGGAAAACCGAAAGACAACCTAAAGAAAACCGAAGGAAAACCTAAGGAAAACCTT